TATATGGAATCTAAAACAGTCAAACTTATAGAAGCAGAGAGTAGAACGGCAGTTGATGGAAGCTACAAGACAGGAAATAGGGAGATAACAGTAAAAAGGACATAAAGTTTCAGTTTTATAAGACATAAATTCTGAGATCTATATAGCATAATGCCTAAAGCTAACAATGCTGTATGGGAGACTTCAAAATTACTAAGAGGAGCTATCTTAGGTAAAATGTTCTTATCATAAAGAGAAGTAATAACATTAAAGGGTCAGGAGGGAACTTTGGTTGGTGATGGTGTCTATGACTCTGAAGTGATGATGGTTTTATGGGTGTGTACCTATCTCCAAACTCATTGAGTTGTGCATATTAAATACAGAGAGGTTTTTACTTACCAATCATTCTCAATAAAGTAGTTTAAAACAAAGAAATACAAATCTTCCCACTCATCATGATGATGTTTTTTTGTTGTTCTTTTGTTTTTTTCTGGGAGAGGGTGAGGAAATATTTGAGAACAGATGGCTATAAGTTCTATAGGTAAAGTGTCCAAAAAGCCAAATTTTAACCTAATTTTCCCAGTGGCTCTGACATTTTGGAATTTGTCTCCTTGTAGGTTTTTTTTTTTCCCTTGCACATTGGCTCATATATCCCTGTCAGCTCAAGAAATTAGCTATATTACTAGTTGAATAATCTCCTGCCCAATGAGGTTTGATAAATCCTCCAGAGTACATTAGCAGGCGATGAAAGTTCAACAAGTAAAATTGAGGGCGTGATTAAAACAGTACTTTATATTAAATAGTTCTTCTAATTCATTTCATAGAACAATAGGCAAGCAAATGTTGGTAATAAAGTTTAGCCATTACATATTTATTATATTTGAGTAAAAATATTAATGTTTCAAACCAGAAGTAAGAGCATAAGCCTCCATCCTTTGGGGGGGAAATCTCACAAACAAAATGAAAGCTCCCAATCCCATAAATTAAAAATTAAAATTACATCAATGATGTAACTTTAGCTCAAATGATAGTGTACTCCAAATCCTAGCTAAAATATGCAAGACAAAGTTTTAAAAACCTCACTCTTTGGAAAATGACTAAAGTTGGATATAACAGTGACCCTATCATTTTACTTACCCTGTAAAAATATGCTTTAATTCGTAAGATTTCATTTATACCATCACTTTTAAGATTTAATGTAGTAGGACTTTGTGAATTTTAGGTTAGGAGCATGTGGTGTGATAGATATAAGGTCAAATTTATCAGCAGGAAGAAAGAGGGGAAGCTAATTTGAAAGTTTCTGTGTTTGTTAAGGTGGGCATGAGCCTCAGAGGCTTGCTACTTCAGGTCAGAAATATAGGACCTTTGCTTCGGGTACATTTCTACTGATGTAAATATTCATATCAACAAAATGTTTCTGAGCATGTACTTTTTCAGACTCTGAATTAAACAGGCTAAGGTAAGTCCTGCCAAAAGGTAAAACCCTGACATGTGGCAAGGATTTGTTTATTTGGGAAACAGGCTCTTATTCATACAAATAAACATTTTTTTACCATTGATAACTGTAATTCTTACAAACATCATTATTATCAAACTAACTGTATCCTTGTAAGACCACCAATGAAAGGCAGTCATTGATGAAACTGAGGGGAAACACAACAGTGCTTTGTAGCTGCCCATAGGCATTACCACAGCTAGAAATAGCCCATCAGGATAGAATTTTTAATCCAGTGCATAGTATGACAGTGGGGGCTTTTAACATTAAAGCATTACCCGGCTGCAGAAAACAACCATCCAAACAACAATAAACAAGGTCAGAAAGATCATCAGATTTATTATCAGAATAGACAAAAGGCATGATTTCCACAGGCACCTTCATTAATGAGAAAGCAGATAATTCCTTGAAAGTCCAGAAGTAGAAAGAAGCCCACCGGATTTCTTTCCCCAGGCCAGTTTAGCCCTTATTGGATGTTGAATTACTTTGGGATCATCTCTCTAGCAGACTTGGGGTTGGTAATCCACGCAATTAATGAAAGCCTGTTCAGCAGGGCTTTCTCTTTATTACTTTTTCTTTCTTTCTTTTTGCCTCCTTCCTCTAACTGGACATGTTTCAGCATCAATCCTGGTTCCATTTCCTCAGGAGCTCAGTACAAGCCTGGAGGTGGCAGTCAAGTTTATTCACTGCCAGGCCAAGTTTGGGGGAACTGGTGTATAACTTGAAAAACCAGGGTGAACAAACAGCTCCTCCACTCAGTGCCTGGTGAGCCTCCCCTCAGGCAGCAGAGGTGCTGGGGTGCTTCTCATCTAACACAGAAACCTATGGCAAGACAGGGACACAGGCACCTGCCCCCTCAGGCCCTTGCATCCGTCACTCATCTACCCAGCCCACAGAAATGCACCAAACCCCTATAATATGCTGGGCTCAAGACACTAAAACTGAAATAGTCCCTCTTCTTACAAAGATTTCTTTTTCAATTCCTTCCTCTCAGAAGGAATAGAGAAACAGGCTAAGCTTCTGTTGAACAATATTAGGGTTAATTAGTACATCCATTTACTAAACTGAAATCCTTTGGCCATTCCATTTAAGCTGCCAGCTAGACATCAGCCAATAACTGGTCCCTCTCCAAATTTAACATACAAGTAGCCTCAGGCTAAGATCTCTCATGCCATCTTCTAAAATGGCTATCAGAATGAAACCAATCATGTCTGACTGCATAACTACTGGATGCGGTAGCAACTGAGGCCATTTTTCTCTTCTTGTGCCCAGTAGATTTCTGATAATAAATAGCCTGGCTTGTAATAAGCTGTGGTTAAGTCCAAAGGGAAGAGTCCAGGAGGCTTGGGGCCCAGTCTGCTTGGATAGGACATTAAGAAAATGACTAAATAATTGTCTTCATTTTATCCATGTAGGAAATAAGAACATGTGTGACCCAAACATGGAAAAACAAAGGCCAGAAAGAAAAGAGTCTGATAGTTAAACACAGGAGGCAGATGCACTTAAAATGAAATCACAGCTCCAGCCCTAAGCACCTTTATACAGATGAATGTTGTCAAACTTCTTTACACTTTAGTTTCCTCTTTTGGAAAATTAACGATAATTGTACAAATATCACAGAATAAATCTGCGATTCAAAAGGAACAATTCACATCACACTTTAGTGTCCAATAAATGTTAAAAAACAAAACAAACAAACAAAAAAAAACCCTTCCACTCATGATAGAATTTCCTCTAGAAGAAATAAGGTCATAATAGTTGCTATCTTAACCTTCTTCAATAAGATAGCATAAGCATCAGTAGAAGTGGTAGAAGGAAAAAGATTCTGAGTTTCTAAAGGGAAAAATAGTCTATATTTGTATAATATTATCAAATTACATTCAAGATTATTAGCATATCCTGTTGCATGCAAAGGCTCTGGCCACTGGCTTCACTGTTCCTCTTCATGTTTAAGAGTGATGTCATAGATCCATAACCACAGCAGTATATGAGATGGTGAGATGGAAAGGGGGAAGGGAGAGGGCCAACCCACACTCCATTTAGGAATCACAAGCAGGCACATTAAAAACACATGACTTGCAAGTTACAAGGACTTCAAGGACTCCAAACCTCTGTGCCTTCTATCTCATTTAAGGATGAAAATTCTATTTTTATTAGTTAGTCAATGCAGCTAAAATCCTAGAAATGCCCTTCAGCTGTGAGCCTTTCCACACAAAATGATTGTGTAATAAAATGAACTGAACTCCCAACATGGAGACTGGAACCACATTAGGAAAGGTGGCCATGAGGGTTGCACTGAAATCTAGGACAGCCTCTGGAAAAAAACAAGGAAGGGAGAAACTTTCTGCATCTGTCTAGACTTCATCTCTTCATAACTAACCCTCATCTCCCAGGGTGAC